GGCCAACCAGTCACCTTTTACCAGATACTCACTTGGAACAAACGCTTTTATTTTAAAAAAATTATTAAAAAGACAGCGGAAGTCACTTATTTCTGGGGGTTTTTTTCCACCCTTCCCACCCAGCTGCAGGCCTGGCCCCACTCGGAGCCACCCTGGAGTGCCATGCATCCCCTGTGAAGGTGGCACCCGGAGCAGCCCAACAGGGCACCTGCTCCTGGCAGGTGCCGGCCGAGGCCCCCGAGCAGAGCGTGGCTTGTCAGCAGCAGGGATGAAGCCCTGCCAGATGGTGAGAGGCAAACCCTCAAAAGAGACCCATCCATCCAGCCCAGGGCTGCAGAAGAGGCCAGGCGAACTCCAAGAAAGTCCTGGAGAAGAGCCCATGCTGCTTTCCTGGCAGCATTCCCACGCTATCTGTCTTTCCAAGAAGAGAGGAGGAAGACAACGGCTTGCTCCAGAGCATCTCGGGCAATTGCGCCATCCAGGATTTGCCCCAAACAACAGCAGCTGCTCCCAGGCAGCAAGTGGGGAATTTCCCTGGCCGAGGTGGGGTCAGGCGCACTCAGTGTCTCCGTTCCCACAGCACCTTCCCTTGCTGGTTCCCTGATTCATCGCACGTGCTCCTCTGGCTGGGAGAGGGGGCAGGGAAGGATGGTGAGCTGAACGACAAAAGGGATGTTGTTCTCCTCCTCCACTTTCAGCCAGGGGGAATCTAAAACCCAGGGAAGACCAATGCCCTAAGGTTTTTAACACCCTCCCAAGTCAGGAGATGGGGCAGGATCTTTCCACCCTCTTCGCAGCGGAGGAAACCACGGCACAGCAAGGCAGTGAGACATCAGACACAACAGCAGAAGTAGGGATCCACAACGTGATCTTCCAGCACGTTCTATGCTCTGTCTTCAGCCCTGACACTCGGCAGGACGGTACGAGAATGGAGCACCAGGCTGGGATCCCCCAGGCTCAGCCTCGAGCACTGGAAAGGCTCTGCAAGCGGGGAACCCCCTGCGCTCCCACTCACCTTCTGCCGTGCGAGGGAGGCAGCAGGACCCGAGGGAGCGGGCGGGCTGGGGAAGCCCCTGCAGCCCTCATGTGCCTGGGTTGGGGCTCAGCCTCCCAGCGCTGCAGGGAGGGTTAGATCACGAGACCTCAGGCATCCGCAGCAAGAACAAATGTTTATTAGAGTGCGTTAACTCTACTCACCCCACACTTACTCTGATTTGGGTGTCTGGGGGTGCCAGAGGACGCTCCGTCCACCGTATTGTGTGAAAAGGATTCGTCTCCTGCTCCTTCCCTGGATCCCCACAAGTCAGATCCATGGCAGGGAGGGGAAATCCAGTCCTGCTGCAGGGCACAAATACTAAAAGCCTCCCCTGTGTAGTGTTCATAGTGCCACCTTCTTCCCTCCGAGAAGGCAGCCTGAGGCCAACAAAACTTTTCCAACGGGGGGAAGGGCGGGATAACATCTCCCAGAGTGGCTCTGCTCCCCCTGAACTGCAGAGAGGCAAGGTCCCAGTGGGCAGGGGGGCAACATCGTGGAGCCAGAAGGCAGCCCAGCAGGCCAAAGAAGTCCAGATGCTCATTCGGAGCACACAACAGGCTTCCCCGAGATCTTCAGGTCATCAAAGGGCAGCAAGGCGAGGAGCTGGAAAGGCCAAGGGTGCAGAGGTGTAAGGATCCACAGCTGTGTCTCCAGCGGGGCCAGGGTAGGGGCCCAGAACTGCCCTCCCAGCCCTGCAGCCTCTCACCTCCCCAGGGAAGTGCCAAGAAACCCTGGCTGGGCTTTCCCAAGGGTTGGAGGCAAGAAGCAGTCACCCCATGCACCCCCAGAGCCAATGCCTGAGCCCTGTAGGCGAGGATGGGCACGGCTAAAAACTCCTCCCAGGAGCTCCCCCCAAATCGTCCACCTCCTGCACCCCCCGACACGCTTGCAGAGCCACAGGCCTCGTAGACTCACATCGTCGTTGCCATCAGCCAGGTCCTGGGCCGTCTCATTCTCCATGTTCCTCAGCAAGGTGTCAGCCCCGGAGTGCGAGAGGATGGCAGCGATGGCCGCATCCCTGCGGCCCACGGCTAGGTGGAGTGGGGTGCACCCGTTGTACATCTGGGCATCCACGTACGCTCCGTTGCGCAGCAGGAACTGGACGGCCCTGCGGTTGTGGCACTCCACGGCCAGGTGCAATGGGGTCTTCCCACTCGTGCCCTCCTGCAGCCCACAGACCACAAGGGAGTGAGTGTGGGGGCCCCTCAGCACCCCCTGCGCCCCCTTGACAGGGTGCAGAGGGGGCTGTCCCCACCCCAGCTACTGTCACGGCACCCAACAGCCCCTCAAGAACCTTCTCCCTCAAAACTCAGTGCCTCCGAGCACCCCGGCAGTGCCTGTCCTGAGGCCGGAGGGGGTGCTCAAGGAAGCCACGCATCGCGCCCAGCCTTACCCGAACGTCGATGTTGGCGCCACTCTCCAGCAGAAGAGACATCATCGGGATGTTCCCCTTCAAGGTGCTGATGTGCAGACAGGCCAAACCTGGGATGGGACGACAGGAAAGAGAGAGCCTCCATCAGCCCAGACCACCCAAAGCCACGCCAACCCTCCGCACCGCTGCACTCCCGGATCCCTGCACACACCCCGCATGGTCTTTGCCCCAGCCTGGCCCCCGGCTCCACGCTTGGCTGCCCCCAGGTCTCACCCTGCCAGTTCTGGAGCTGCAGGTCCTGGTGGTGCCCATGGGGCTGGGTCATGCCATCATTTGGGACCGTGGGGTCGGTCGGAACCGTGCTGTCGGTCGGGGCCGTGCCCTGCAGCAGCTGCTGGGCGCACTGCAGGCACTGCTGCTCGCAGGCCAGGTGCAGCGGGGTGTTACCGTTGCGGTCCTGCAGCCGGGGGTTCACTCCCTTGTGGATCAGCGCCTGGATCACACTGGGCTGCTCCAGGTACACGGCGAGGTGAAGTGGGGTCTAGAGAGGAGTTGGAGGCAACAATTAGGAAAGGGGAGGATGCCTTGCAGGTTATCTATCCGACCACATTCAAGCCGTGCCTCCTCCACCCTCTGGGGCTGTCTGTAACATCCTGGGGGCTCCTAAAGGATCCCTTCACCCTGCGGTGCGGGAGCCATCACACCTCTCCCTCAGGGTCTCTCTCACACCCTTCTTCCCCTCCCTGAAAAGGGGCTGCTCACTGGGACCTTCACATGCTCTGGAGGAAGCGGGTGGGGGCTCCTGGAGAATTGGATTGGGCATTTATCCAGGGAGCTACCTGCAGGACCTGCCTTCCTCTCACCTTCTGCCTATCACATCCACATACCTGGAAAAGATCATTTTGGATCTCCAGCACCTCCCTGGGCAGCTGAGCAATGCAGCATAGTGCCACAGCTGGGACACAGTGGATAATGGCCAGGTGAACCAACCTACAGAGGGAATAAAGGGAAGGGAAGAGTGAAAAAAACAGAAAAATGACTCCTGAGTGCCATGCTCAGGAACAGAGATCCCCCACTGTCCCATGGAGGAATAATTTCCCTGCCCCCCCCGAGTCCCTTTCCCTTCCCATCAGCTCAGAGCTCCTCCATCCTGCCCTGTCCCTGGGGAAGCTCAGCAGCAGGGCAAGGCAAGAAAATGGCCTGCGGCTCCCCAGGGCAGTCCTTCACTCATTCCCACTGGGAACAGAGCCTCCTGTCCCCACTAAGCACCACAGGGTCCTCCCTTAGACCTCACAGCGTGCATGGGGCTTGGATCTGGCAATGCCCAAAGCCAGGCCTCCAACTGGTGCAGGTCCAAAGAGCCTGGGATGCATTTGCAAGATCCCAGGGGCCGGATTTGGCGGCTGTGGATGGAGGTCTGGGCTCTGGCAGCTGTCCGGGGAATTCCAGTTCTCCGCTGACGGCTGCGCATCGCACTTCTGCTTTC